ATATAAACATACAAAAAACATTTTTTTTACCAGTAACTTCGTCTGTACACTCAGTTGTATAGATAACAATTAATATGACATATAATAAAAAAAGTAAAAAAGGAATCTGACTCGTGAAGGATTTGAACCTCCGCCCTCCGATAATCAATCAACAGAAGATATCGGTGCTCTTACCTACTGAGCTAACGAGTCGCATTACGCGTATTTCAAAAACGTGCTTTATATTATGAGGAATAACGTCAACCGATCTGACGTCATTTTCTATTACTCACCGAGTGGCGGTAAACAAACTAATGTAGCTGAACTGATGTCACAACAGATATGATATGATTAACTGCATATCAGGCACTTGATAACAATGTTATATTTATAAGACATTGTTCAATGCTCATTGCCAATTTGTATCAATAACTTTATTTTATTTTCATACTGTAGGTTGCTTCAAATATACTAAAAAAAATGGAAACAAATTGCGAGGAGCTCTGTCGCCAAGGTAGATAATGAGGACATACCATCAAGAAAGCCACGACCTGTCAAGAGTTTAGGTACAATGAATGAAGAACCCAGAACAATTAACACAGTGCTATCTAGTCCTAATCTAATCAGAGCTTGTGTTGTGGTACCTACTAGATAACTGATATAAATACATCGATTTTTTTCTAAATATATTGAAAACCTATGTATATAATCAATGCTACTGTAACCGTACTATCAACAAGGACGGATCCAGCTTTGGCGCCAGGAGGGGTCACACAGTCGTGGTCATGGCGCCAGGAGGGGGTCACAGGGTCACAGGGTCGTGGCCAAGTCAAGAACTTATAATTTAATTTTGCTAACAATAAAACGTTAAATACAAGTTAAAAGTTATTATATTATATTAAATTAATTAAATATTGAGGGTATGTAGTTACATAAAATCTGTATGGTGACAAAATATATAAATAAAATCATTATGTTCAATTAATGGTCCACCTTAGTCCTGGAACCAGCTGAGCCCCCCCCCCCTCAGCTGGTCATGAAACCCATGAACACCCCCCCTGGATCCGCCGTTGACTAGCAATGGGGTCATTAATCCCTCACCCCTGCGATTTCTGGTAGATGATGATTTTTTTTCAAATTAATGATAATGAAATGGTGCACCCGCCTGCGCTAACGGTGCACCAGTGGAGGATGATAAGATGAGCATGATGTCAGGTCAGTTAGAACATCATGTCTAATTCTCCATGAATTTATCGGTTCAGGAGGAACTGCATTAGGACTACCTAATATATTCCTAGCAATGGGAGTTGTGCAAATTACTAACATAGCTACTTCACCCCACATTTTTCAATAATAACACTAACCGTGTGACCTTGACATGCATCCGTCCAATCTGCGTAACTGCGCAATGCGTAAATGAAAATTAGGGACCTGTTTTAGCACAAGATTGGAATTTCTTTAGTGGAACTCGATGTTTTACTTATTTAGACATGTAATATAAAAAATTGTACAGAGCAAGAATCACTTGTGTAACATGGCCGAGTTAGAAGTGAGTGATATTTATTATTCTTCCACCCGCAACAAAGTGTTACATTTTTGTTGTAACTTAAGCTCGCGAAAAGGACCAAATCCTCATTGTCTTCTTAAATTAGGTAATGACACCAGTACTTATATTTTTTATTGACTTTATGAGTTATTTGTTATTTAATTTTGCTTGTAAATAATATTTATAATTAGAATCAAGTAAGGTATTTAAAATTTTGAAAACGATTGTATAATATATTAATTATTAAGCGACACATAACTACCTACGTAAATTATTAGGAATTTTAACTACGAGTATATGCATATAGTCACTCATTGCTATTTAATACTATAAAGTGGATTCCGTTATTTTTTTATAATAATAGGTAATATAAAAAAACTTTAATAGACCTAAACGATTTTTTTCAACTACAAAATGGTATATTAACAGCCAGTAACATAGGCAGTGTTTTATTTTTAAAATATAAAATATTTTAAAATAAAACATTTTTTGTACTGTAATAATTCCGACATCGTCATCTAGTACCAATCTCCATAATATGTATAGAAAACAACAAGACCAATACACACAATCATCCTCGTGAATACAAATGTTTATACCATGCAAGGAATCGAACCCGCAACCATCGGAGGTAAAGCGGTGCTAAACGATTACCGAAAAAAGGAAATTATCTTATATATTCTTTATTTCACTTTTTAAAATACATCATTATTTGAATAGAGATTATTAATTACAGTATTTATAAAATTTCTAAAAACACAAGCACAGCCGGGTTGTATCGCTAGTGAGTAATAGAAAAAAATCCAACAATAGCTACGGTTATAATGGCCTTGTGTTTTGGCCTTCATGACTAATGGTAGTCGGAGTGACGTCATTTCAAATATAGTGATGCTTGAATATCCCTATGGCGGCAACAGACTCGTTAGCTCAATAGGTCAGAGCACCGACATAATCAGCAAGCCTAGAAAGTCGGAGGGTGTAGGTTCAAATCCTTCACGAGTCCTAATAATTTATTTTTAACAGTATCAATAATTAATTAGTGCTATGTGGTAGTTTGTATACAGATATTTTAACTTAAACTAGATTTAAAAAAAAAGAAGTGAAGACTATTTAAAAGTGCCTCAATTTAAGTTTATTTGAATGAAGACTTTTCTATTCTTTTTAATAATAACTAAAGAAGATTATTAATTGCTACTTACTTTTAATAAAGTCCATGTGTATTGTTAATTTATTATACATATATAAATTTATTGTTCATGCATGTCCATAAATAAATAAATACTTATTGCAAGTGTGTTAATAGTCATACTAGTATCACAGATAAGATAATCTTACATACTAGTATTATGTAATATTATGTTATCTGTGCCAGTATTAAAATCGCGCATACAGCCATGACGCGCTCGTCGATCCTACTGCGGCTGTGCGCCGTACAATATTGTGCATCTGTGGCGCATTACGTTTGCGCGCGAAAATAGAAAATACTACAAAATGGCGTCTTCTGCAGACATACTGATTAATTATTGTTCTGTTCATTGTTACCTATTTTATACTAATTATGTCTGCAATTTACTTATATTATAATAAAATACCTATATTTACGTATAAAGCACCTATATTTTATGAAATAGAAATAGAAATAATCTTTATTCAAATTAACTCATTACAAGCACTTTTGAATAGTCATATTTTGATTCTACCACTCATTCGGAATACAGATTCATCACAAGAAGAATGAGCAAGAAACTTGTGTGTTGCTCTTTTTAATAGATTTTTTTTATATAAATAATTACAGTATAACAAGTAAGAGGCATGCGATAATCAACATAGAAATCGCTACGCACTCATTATTAGTGTAATCAGATAATATTGTCAGTGCTATGGATTTAAAGTTTTTCTATAAAAACATTATTATCGTTAACGAATTCTTCAATTTTATAGTAAGCTTTTTTGCAAAGGAACTGTTTTATTTGACATTTAAATCTTTTTACTGGCAGATTTATAACAGACTCTGGTATTTTATATGTTCAGTTATTGTCAGTTTTTATGTATACTTTGTTAGTAGTTTAGAACTTAAGTGCTATCATCGTCGTCGATCTCTTATTGTATTAATTTACTAATAAAGGCTATAACAGAATAACAGTGAGGGTGGACTCACTGTCCCCACTGAGTTATGCTTCTTCATTACTTTTAAATGTTATTATTATATAAGCAACAATTTTATTAGTTTTTATTAGACACAAATAAAGATGATTATTATTATTATACACAACAAATCTGAATATAAATACAGCCCCTAGTCACCAGCGTTGTTAGGTAACCAAGGGTTCAGGGGCAAATAAAAAAATGGGGCTAAAAGTGTTATTGTGCTAAAAGTGTGATTTTATAATAAACTGCCAGAATCTGCACTAAATCTGACAGAGAGGCAATTCAAATCTTATATTAAACAATTTTTGTGTAAGAAAGCCTATTACAGGATAGACGAATTCATAGACGACAACATATCAAGTAAATAATTAGTTTATTAGCATACAACGTTATAATTTGTTTATCTCATTGCTTTCTTGATTCAATTATTTTAGAAATATGAAAGCGTAGCGGGTTTTGTATTAATTGCCGCATGCATTCTTATGTGAAATGTGAATACTATAAACATCAGATGGCAATTGTGAGTAGCTATGACGTGGTCTGGTGTTTTGAGTAGTCATGCTCACTAAAATATCCAGACTTGTGGCGGCGTGGTGGGCCGGGTCATTGGGCTCCCTAAAATATGGTCGAGCGCAGTGATGGCTGGCTCATCCGTCATACTCGTGAACGGGTGCTGCTTGTAGGGACTGGTCTGCTCTAATCACTATGACTGATTTCCTCTTATTGTTTAACCAGTTGGTTATGTATTCAATATTTTTTTCTTTTTGAGTATTTAATTGAATTAGTGCTAATCGGTGGTTTGTATTCACACACTTAAACTTAAATTGTAAGTAAGAATAAATTATTTAAAAGAGCAACACACAAGTTTCTTGCTTGTTCTTCTTGTGATGAGACAGCATTTCGAATGAGCGGTAGATTAAAAAAAAAAAATGTTATGACTATTCAAAAGTGCTTCAATGTAAGTTTATTTGAATAAATGATTTTCTATTCTATTCTATTCTTCTATTCTATCAAAAGGCACATGTCGCTATCCGTCAAATTAACAAAACTGCCAACCAGAAAGAATTTAGAGGAATTTCGAAGGTATAATTTTCGAATTTCTCTCAACTGAGTTGCCATGATTAAAGTCAGGTTGCAACCTATCATATTTATTTTGAAAATTGGAGAAATTTTGAAAAGTTCAGTCTGATCAAGATTTTCTGGTAAGGGTTCGAGGGAACCCTGAACTTGAGGGCCCCGGTGCACTGCCCCGCCTAGCCCCTAGGTAGCTACGCCACTACTAACATACCTAACAGGTGCATTCAAATGTAGTCAGTAACTACATTACTTACGTTGGATAATCGTCTGCATGTAGACACAGCGAGTTTGTGAACAGCTCGCATTTGGCCTGCTCGCTTGGTGTCGGCAGCTTCCTCGCTGGTAATGGCCGTCTCCTGATAGGATTAAGGGTCGGTTCCGCTGTAGTTCTGCGGCCAACTGGAGGTTTAGGCGAGTAGGAACCCCGTCTAAACAAGTTGCCTGAAATTATAGTTGTAAGAGATTGGTTTCTGTTGCGAGTTGTAATAATACGATGTTGTCAGTTGAGACGATGTATATTACAGATGATAATATTCTGATAAAATTTACATAAAAATATTGATCTTATATACTAAATAACAATAGGAAAGTGTAAAGTGGGGTGACATAGTTTAGACACGGCAGTGCTTATAAGACAATATTGAGTTTGTCTGACTAGGCATATATAATTGCAATTATTATATTGATGTATCTAGGTAACTGTGTCCTATAGTTTCGAAAATTTTGTTTAGCACATTTATGCACAATGGTTTAACAAATTTACGTAAAATTATCATCGTTTAATTAGATAACAACAGTTATTTATGATTTTTCTTGAAGATTTGCATATTATCTAAGTTGCACAAGGTTACTGGTAATCTTTATATATAAAAATTACGTGTCACATCACGTTGTTTGTCAGCGATGGACTCCTAACTACTGAACCGATTGCAAATTTGATTTGCACATTGTGTGCAATTTGATCCAACTTGAAAGATGGGATAGCGTACATCTCAATTTGTAGTCGCAATATTGTTTTATTCAATATATTTTTGGACCCATGCAGAAAATACTGTTATTTATAAAGACAGTTTTAGATTAACTGCTGGTCGTTGAATGGTCGAAATTAATTTAAATTATAAGTTTGAAAATAGTTATGATTAGACTGTCAAAGAGCTATACATCTATGCATGTGTGGGTCAAGTATATGATAGTTGTATAATTAAAAAAAAAATAGGATTCTACACTCCTTCTCTACATCTTATATATACAATTCTGGTGTCATAGTTTTCGTTCCCATACTCCTCCGAAACGGCTTGACCGATTCTCATGAAATTTTGTGAGCGTATTGAGTAGGCCTGAGAATCGGCCAACATCTATTTTTCGTCCCCCTAAATGTTAGGGGTAGTCCTCTAATTTTTTTTTTTTATTTTAAGACAAAACAACGTTTGCCGGGACAGCTAGTAAACTATATAAGTGTGCGATTTTTTTTTAAAAGTGGTACAAAGTTTTTGCTTTAAGTATGTATTATTATTATAGCCTTTATTCAGATCCAGCTTATACATTATGTTAAAACAAACATAAAGCTTTAAAACTTAAAACGAATTAATTATTCTATTAATTGGATCTTTTTTAATGTCTGTAGATCTGTTTGCCAATCGGCAAAGGCCTTCTCCAATCGTTTCCATTCTTCTTTTTCTTGTGTTACTCCTGCCACTGTCCTAATATCATCATCCCAACTTGTGTGGGCTCTGCCTCTTTTTCTTTTTCCTTCCCTGGGATACCATCTTATCACTTTCTTACTCCATTTATCATATCCTCTTATTATGTGACTTTAAGTATATTATATTATATTAATGTAATGATTCTTTTTTGAGCAAATATTTTATGGGCCTTTTTCTTTCCAATGACATAAAAAAGTGGTTCAGAAGTTGACTTCCCTTTTTGTACTTTAAATTTATATAGACGATCTATAAAATTCTCATGTTACAAAACTACTCTGAAACGGCGTGAACGATTCTTACGAAATTTTGTGTATATAATCAGCAGGGATAGGACGTAAACTATTTTTCATACCCCTAAGGGACTAAGGAACAAAATTTTTTTTTGAGATCTCGTTTTTTTTTTTTTATGGTTCGTCATTAAATATATGCATATTGCAACCTAAAATTTTAACCCTTCTACCGTCACACTATTTTTTAATAGTGATATATTTTTTTGGGTTGATAATGAAATGTTGCACCTGCCTGCGCTAACGGTTTACGCTGGCGGGGCACCAGTGGAGGATGATAGGATGAGTATGAAGGTTAGGTCCGTTAGTCCATCGTGACAAATTCACTAGGAATTTATCACGATGGTTTCCAGGGAGAACCGCGTGGAGGTCGACCTAACATGGTACATTGCTAGCAATGGGAATTACTAGTTCCCATTACTAACAATCCCCTTTCCCCCAATAGTGATATTAAGGTCTATGGGAAAACACCGTTTGCCGGGCTACTTAAATTTAGATTACAGATAGTATAGTATAGAAAAGGAAGGGGGAAGGGATTGTTAGTAATGTGGACTCTCGACCCCATTGCTAGCAATGTACCATGTCAGGTTGACCTCCACGCGGTTCCCCCTGGAAACCATCGTGATAAATTCCAGATGAATTTATCACGATGGGCTAACTGACCTGACCTCATTCTCATCTTATCATCCTCCACTGGTGCCCCGCCAGTGTAAACCGTTAGCGCAGGCGGGTGCACCATTTCATTATCATATACAAAAAAAATATAGAAAAGGAAAGGGTTTGTTCATAATGAAGTATAGTAATATAGCATGTTAGATGGACCTTCACGCGGTCTGCCTGGAAATCATTGTTGTTAATTTCTGGTGAATTCGTCACTATATGTTCATTAGCCTAACTTCATGCGTCCTTCACTGGTGCCCCGTCAGCGTATACCATTAGTCAGCCAGTAAAAAAATAATTATTATTCATTAAAAGAAATGTCATAGATTACCTTTTCGGTCGATATATCTGTTAAGTGCTCGCAACTTCTCAGCTACTGGTAGATCCTGTGCCAGGGTCTGATTGGTGGAGTCTGCTGCCAGGTCTATTGTGTTGTTATCATATTTGGTTGTATTGAGTTCCGCTCTCGCAGTTGACACAGCTTCAGTAGACGCTGAAATCTTTGGAGACTTTTTCTGAAATTTGTTTTAAAGTAACACATTAAAACTTTGTGGTTTAGTGGCTGTTTGTGGTAAATACATATATAAAATACATCTAAAACACCCAGACCGATGCAAACAATCATACTCATGAATACAATTGTTTGTATCGTTCGAGGAATCGAACCCCACCACCGAGGACCGTCAACTTTAGTAAGTCGAAAAATTATTATTATACTAGCTGTTCCCGCGACTTCTTCCGTGAAATTCAAAACATCAAAATCGGTCCAGCCATTTCAGAGATTAGCCGGAACAAACAGACAGACAGGCAAAAATTATAAAAAATGTTATTTCCATAAATGTAGCGTATTTATATTCATATGAATGTAATAAAAAACGGTTATTTCAATATTACAAACAGACACTCCAATTTTATTTATAATACACTATTAATTATTTACATTCTATTATAAAAGCCTAATATATTAATTAATTAACAATACAACAATAAACTACACGTAATTACACAGGTTTAATTAATATTACAATGTTAAATTAAACACAATAATAATTAAAACTGCAGTTCAAGGTCTAACTGACAATTTGTACAGTGCACTTATATAACTATAAATCAAATGTTGACAGCGATAAGTTGATATAAAAATAAAACTTTCAATTATTGTTTAAATTAAATTACTGAATTTTATAGTATTTATATGGCAACTAGGCTAAACATGGACTAGTCCATGTACCTAACATTTATTTATCATTACATAGTATAAAACCAAGTCGCTGTCGCTGTCCGTCCCTATGTATGCTTAAATCTTTAAAACTACGCAACGGATTTTGAAGCGGTTTTTTTTATAGATAAAGTGATTCAAGAGGAAGGTATATATATATTATATATGTACATGTACACTCGTGCGAAGTCTGGGCGAGTAGCTAGTAATAGTATAAAATAAAGTCGCTGCTGGATTCTGTTCGCTTATATCTTTTAAATTACGCAACCGATTTTAATACAGTTTTCAGCAATCATCATCATCATCATCATCATCGCAGCCCGGAAGACGTCCACTGCTGGACATAGGCCTCCCCAAAGATCTCTACGACGATCGGTCCTGCGCTGCTCGCATCCAATGCCTTCCAGCGATCTTGACCAGATCGTCGGTCCACCTTTTCAGCAATAGATAGAGTGATTCAAGAGGAAGGTTTATATATATAATACATGCATGTTATACTATAGAACATGCCGAGAAATTCAAAGATTATTACAGCATCCGTGCGAAGCTTTTAGTTCTAGAAAATTGGTTAAGTTGTTAAGGCGCCAAGACAAATCAAATTCACTTGAACTTTTATATTTTTATGAATATGGTTGTGTAATGCATGTTCTGACACGTAATGTACTCAGATAAATGTTTAACGGCTTTCACATGACTGTCAGTAATAACACTGCCTTAAAAGATTGTACGTACAGACAGTAATTGTGTTATTATATCTAAAATTATGTTAGTAGTAAATCACACGTAACAAAAAATGAAAATTTTATCATATATATGAAAGCATGATAACCAACAGATCAACACAAATATAAATATAAAAAAATACATAACGCATGTATAGAACACGTCACTGCAGGTCGGGTGATATAATTGTAAAAATTTGTTTTTGTATTTGTAAATTTCAATAAAATATTTCTATGAAAGAAAATCGGAATAAATTTATAATGTAGTTGAAATTACTTTATTTTCCAATTTATATTTATTCTAGTAGCAATGAAAGATTTGGTTAAGTTTGTTTCATTAATAAACACGTATGAAGACGGGGTATGGAGCTAGTGTATGAATGAGTGTAGGTAGGTCCATTCACAAATAGGTTATATAAATACAATAGCTGTCCCGCGGTTTCACCCGCCAGTGATGTTTCATCAAAATCCGTTCAGCAATTTTTGCATGTAAAAACATTCATCCGTTCATCCATATTTACAATAATAATAATAATCTCAGGACAATTCACACAGCGCCATCTAGTCCCAAGTTAAGCTAGCTAAAGCTTGTGTTACGGGTACTAGATAACTGATACAGATACATAGATATTTTTTTTTGTAAATACATACATATTGTGCATAGAAAACACCCAGACCGATACAAACAATCATACTCATGAATACAAATGTTTGTGCCGTGCGAGGAATCGAACCCGCGACCATCGGACGTAAAGCGGTGTGCTAGACCGCTAGACCACCGAGGTCGTCAAACTACAAACTTTCGCGTTTATAATATTAGTATGCAATATTATGTTATCTGTGATATTAGTAAGAATAATTTAATGAGATAATTCTTAAGATAAGATTGAATTTATTGTAATATATAGTTTAAAAATATTTATACAGTTTTAATAATTGTTAGTTTAACAATTACTAGAATAAAGACAAAATAATAGACAAAAATATTGTAACATAAGATAACGGTAAATACATTCACCTAAATTGAATTAAAAAAATGATTTGTACTTTTGTAATAATTTATAAGCTCATTTGAATAGAATAAGAGCAGAGTTTCTTGTCAGTCCTTCATAACTGACTGTAAATTTGTCTTAGGTATCTCTTAGACGTACATGAATAAAAATATTTTGATTGGCTAAAACGAATTCTTTTTTTTTTATAATACAGGGGACAAACGAGCATGCGGCTCACCTGACGGTAAGTGATTACCGCCGCCCATGAGCACCCGCAACACCAGGGGAATTGCAAGTACGTTGTCGGCCTTTTAAAAAGGAATAAGCTCTTTTCTTGAAGGTATCAATATCGTATCGGTTCGGAAATACTATTGCTGGAAGGTGATTCCACATTGTGGTTGGTTCCACAATTCTGGCCGGATGTGTTCTTGTAGCCTTTGAAGATATATTTGTATATTGTATACTTACATTGTCATAAACTTTATGTGAATTGGTTTCAGTATCAGTTGTTTTAGTGTCTTTTGTGTCGATTTTTTCGTCCGCTACGTTTTGTGATTGATTTCCTGCGGTATGATTCTGCGGTTTCTTAATCTCTGAATGAATGGCGGTCTAGTGGATGTCTGTGGGTATGATACATCGAACGGTTCTTCATCTAACGTGTCTTCTGTGAATGATCGTCTTGAAATTTGTGCCTGTGGTACGAGTGGTTGTGTGATTTCTCTCAACTGCTTGCCAGGTCTGACGGCGCGTCTAATTAAATTCGCCATGTCTAATAGTATTGGTAGCATTAAGTCTGTCGTTGTGTTTGCATCATTACCGAACATCGATCTCACCTGGAACGTAAAATTAGGTCGTCTGTTAAATATTACTTTGCAACTTATTTAATACTGTCTGTACTTGCGACTCCGTCCGCATGGAATTTAACTTTATTTTTCTAAAATAAAAGTAGGGCAAGTTACTCCTTATTACATCAGATACCTGTCAATAAAAGTCCCGTCAGAATTGGTCCAGCCATTTCAAAGATTAGCCGGAACAAACAGACAGAAAAAAATTGTAAAAATGTTATTTTGGTATATGTAACGTTTTTATATTCATATGTATGTAGTAAAAAATGGTTATTTCAATATTATATAACACAAAACACATAAACAGACACTCCAATTTTATTTATATGTATACATACATAAACTCCAGCATAGGGTTGTTATAATATAACTTTAAATAAGGTAAATGCAACTTATTTGTAATATTTACTTTATATATATAAACTATATTATGAGAGTTTTTCATGAAGGGTTTATTAAGGTTTCTTAAGGATTCTTAAGGACCTCGTATTTCAGGCGTCCATAGACTTCGGTAAATGTTTACCATCAGATGGGTCATGTGCTTCATTGCGACCACAAATGTATATAAAAATATGTGTAATGCTGTTTGTACATGGAAAGTACATAAGATAATATATTTATGGAGAACTATATTTAAATAATAGAAAACCAAAACAATTATTTAGTATTTTTTATTATTTATTGCTCAATTAAATTCTGGTGATTAAAATTTTCTTGATTAACCAATGAATCAGAACAGGTCTTATTAAATTAATATACCTATTTTATTTCTTAATTATTAAAATTATGCTTCTTTGAAAAATAATTAAAATTAAGTAACAATAAATTACTGCAAAAACATCATTACATAGTATAAAACAAAGTCGCTGTCGCTATCTGTCCGTCCCTATGTATGCTTAAATCTTTAAAACTACGCAACGGATTTTGAAGCAGTTTTTTTAATAGATAGAGTGATTCAAGATGAATGTTTATATATATAATACATGTATACCCGTGCGAAGCCGGGGCGAGTAGCTAGTATTCTATAAATCTAATAACACCCAGGAATATTAATTATTAATCTTGTACTACGATGGTGGTAAACAAGCATACGGCCCATCTGATGGTAAATGGTCACCATAGCCTATGAACGCTTGAGACACTAGAGGTGTCACATATGCGTTTCCGAACGAAATTCTCTAAAAGCGCTCTTGCCTGAGACACCAGGGGTGTCACGTATGCGTTTCCGAACGAAATTCTCTAAAATCGCTCTTGCCTGAGACACCAGGGGTGCCACATATGCGTTTCCGAACGAAATTCTCTAAAAGCGCTCTTGCCTGAGACACCAGGGGTGTCACGTACACCGACATTCTCTAATACAGCTTTTTGTAATTATTGTAGTTACTGCAGTTTAATAAATAAGTTTGTAATATTAACACAATAGCTGTGCGTTACCTTATCATCAAAATATACGTTTCATTGAATATTACATCAGCATTGTTTACATTATCTCCATTATTAAGGTTATGGGAAAACCTAGGCCCACTTTTTCGGTATTATGTTAAAGCCAAAAATATTGGCATTGTACTAATTTGGTACGGCGGTTCAAGTATAATTCTTGTTCATATTAATTACGTTTGTTGAATAATCATAATAGTGTATTATGTCAGGGAACATTGACACTAATAACAATGTTTTAAAGTTGTTTTATTTGCTGATTAAATGAAATGAAATGAATATTCTTTATTGTTCTTCTCATAGGATACAAACGAACATTTGTATACACTATTAATATATAAATATGTATAAATAGACAACGTTGGCAAAGGAATGAGGCAACGAGCAAAACAATGGGCGGCCTTATCGCTGAAAAGCGATTTCTTCCAGGTTATCATAGGATGTAGATGGAGAAATCTACATACTGTTATATATATATATATATATATATATTTTTTATATTTTTACGAATGGTGATAGAACATCTCGATGGAAGAAATCGGAATTGTAACTTGGAACTATTTAAAATTTCCAGATAGAACATTCAAAATTGGTATTTAATAATTTTCAACTACTATCTATATATGAATTAGGATTTTTTTAAATAAAAAAATATAAATGAGTTTTTGGTTAAGTTCGGTTTTTAAGTTACCACGAAGAAACCGGATATTTCTTCCGTCGATATCCTTCCTCGTCCTTTAGATCATGCGAATGAGCTAAAGATACCTTTCTTTTTGTGAAAATCTTTGAAATAAAATACAAAATAGTGCTTTTATAATGAATTTTCAGATCGTAAAATAAACATATTTAAAGTAAATCTAACTAGAGTGAAATGTTCATATTAACTGCATGTACTATTGACAAAATTTAGATAGATAGTTAAAATATTTATTTACGTTAAATACACACATAAGGCACTGTAATATTAACAACAAAATTAAAAAGTAGATACACAATTACATTGGTTAGTCAGTAAAATACAATATAATACAGATGTACAGATAATGTACAATAGAGGTACAAAAAATTTCATCGAGTTTAATTATTTATTGTAGAAAATTTCCTCAGTATCCCGTTTTGTATGGATAGGGATAAGGGGCATGCAGCAATAATTCTGAGCACTAACATCTCTCTGTACCTTGTTGTGGCTTTCGTTAGATTTAAGATAAGATAAGATTAATCTATATGATGTAAAGAAGCGTAATGAATGAATCTGTATTGACGTAATATTTTAACTGTAAAAAATCGGCCAGGGAAAGTGAATTACTGACGTAAGTGATCGAAATGAAAGTGTAATGAGCTGTTTGTTCGTCAGCTTATATACTACCTATAACTATTTACAGTAATCTGCCCATAAAACTATTTGTAACGTCTTTTGATGGTGTATAATGGTATGGTGGTATAAGATAAAGTACAGCCATACTCCGTCAATTGCCTAACTGACCCGACTGACCTGACCTTATCGTCTTAACCATAATCTTTAACTCCATAACTCCATCTAGTAAGCAATAGATAACCTGTTAAAATAACAGTCCCAAATAAGACTTGAATTGAACTTTAAAGTTATAGAACTGAAGGTCTATTTTAACAAAAATAAAATTAATATTGCTCCTCAAACCACTCTCGAAACCGCAGTTGTTTTTAATGATAATGGAATGGTGCACCCGCCTGCGCTAACGGTATACGCTGGCGGGGCATCAGTGGAGGATGACAAGATGAGGTTAGGTCGGCCCATCGTGGCAAATTCACCAGGAATTTAATATTATGGTTACTATGTGTAACCGCGTGGAGGCCAAACTGACATGATACTGTTAATTATGGTGTGAGGCACCATTAATAAAAATGGTAAATCAATAATCATGATTCATTATCTAAGGCATTCAGAATAACCTGAAACGAAACGGCAGAGGCCAGAGCCTAAATAATCTTTGTGACATTGACAAGTAGACTGATGGATGGATGGAACTGACGTAGCGGGAGTGTGGAGCGAAAAGGTTGGAGTGTTTATTATTATAAAACAAATAAGAGATATGTAATTGTGAATATTGTAGGCATTATGGGTTTATTAGTTGGGACTGGGAGGACACCACAAGTAGTGAAGGTGAGTGTTAATGCAATCTAAAAGGGCCCTTTAAACTTACACCCGTGTCACAAGTCTCGGACGCTACTTGGGGTGCTCTCCCGGAACCATCTGTGGCCGGAATGAGGGCCTAAGTCGTCATCATAACTAGTGGTTTAAAAGTACATTGCTAGCAATGGGGTTACTAATTCAAGTTGCGAATGCTCAACCATGCCAACTAACGATGCCTCTTTTCGGTATATTAACTACTAGCTTTTGCTCGCGGCTTCGCTCGCGTTAATTTATCGGTGGAATTTATTAAAATCCTTTCTTAGGGGATGCCTACGTTATAGTAGCTTTGTGCATTCAATGCCTCAGCCCGTTCGGTTTAAAATTGACAAAGTTTCATACAAACTTTCATCCCCTATTTTATCCTCTTGGGGGTAGAATTAATCAAAGTCCTTTCTTAGCGGATGCCTACGTCATAACATCTACCTGCATGCCAAATTTCAGCCCGATCCGACCAGTGCTTTGGGCTGTGCGTTAATAGATCACTATGTCAGTCACCTTTGAGTTATATATATTTAGATGTATTTACAAAAAAGATCAAATTCAAAAACGACTTATCGTAAAGGAGTAACAAGTATTCATCCTTGCATTCATAAACACTCACAAACTTCCACGTTTATAATATTAGTAAGATGTAGCTAATAATAACCCACTTTAAAAAAAAAGTAGTTGTTATGCATTTAACGTACCATAAATTATACTTTATCTGCAAACATTTTTAACTGTGAAGTGTAACAGAAGCATAAAAATACAACAGTAAACCATAAATATGGTCATTCGAGCTTCACGGATCGTAATTAAAAAGAAAGTGGGTGAGAATATAACTGACGCCGGCGTAAAGTTGTAATCGAGTTCATTACTAATAATGTCTTTAAAATCTTGTGCTTTATGGAAATTTATATTGTATGTTGTTTATTTATTTCATTCGGATTACATCCATATTGTGTTAGTGAACAACTTAGAAACTATGTTAGTAAATTATAATATACAAATATACATACACACTTAATTCATATATCTGTGTCCACGTCCAGAGCACTGGGTCCACAAGCAACGATATCCAGTGCCTCTGGAGTGGACAATCTGATATATTTGCAATACTTGTTAGGATGCTGTTTGCGCATGTTTATATTATAATAAATCTACAAGCTTAGCTTTATTAGAAAATAAGTATAGTGGAATCTAGAAATTATATAAATCTCAAAGACCTCGGTGGTATAGCGGTTTAGTACACTATCTTACTTCCGATGGTGGCGGGTTCGATTCCTCGCACGGCAAAATATTTGTATTCATGAATACGATTGTTTGTATTGGTCTGGGGCTGGATACGGCTGTGTGAACTGACCTGAGTTATCATTATCTTTAGACCGTCGTGGCGTAGTGG